ATTGACTCATAGAATTATTGATAGGTATTTTGTAATAAGATCAATCAAATGTACTAGTGCACTTAGCTTAGATTTCCAAGAATAGTACATACTGGATTGTGAACATCATGCCATTTGTCTGTCGATGACTCCACAAACTGTCCATTTATAAACATCTTGGTAACTGAAGGCTAAAAATATTGAATTAAGGGTACATGAGCTTATCTCAGTGTTTACAAACACCCATCGACAATAGCACAGACAGTTAAATCTCGTACCAACCAAGATAATTACATTAAACCATTGAATTTCCATGTCCCTTGTTTTATTAAACATCAATAATTATCACTGTTTCATTACTTTGTTGAAGAAGAAGAACATGCATGAGCAAAAGTTATGGTACAAAGCAGGTTTACATTTTGGATACTTACAATGTTGCCATTACTGTAATACCTGTTCTGCACTGATGCCAAGAGCGCTGTCTGAAAAAATTGTTAATGAATGATAAGACATACAATATTATAATTGAATTTGGTTTTGTATGATATCAAGAATAAGTCAGATCTCAAGGGGTTATCGGTAGAGGAGGATAACTCCCTCATAAATCTGCGGAATTCTTCGCATCCTACTAAGCCTCATATTAGTACTATTTTTATTGATAATATTAATATTATCATTATTTTTGTTTACCATTTAATATTATCACAATAATTATTATTATAATATAATAATAATTATAATATACTAATAATTAGCAACCTTTGGTTGTCAATTTTCTGAGAGCACTGAAAGAAAATTGAGGGTTCCAATTCCGGCCATCTGTTGACGGGGAGGGAAAACCAGGGGGGATGGGGGTGATAAATAATGGACAAACCCAAGTATACATTTTATAAGCTTAGAATTTATTACAAGCACTGATCACTAACTCTGGGTCTAGTGTCTTAAGTGCGCAAAAAATTTAAGTATTCAATTTAGAGGCAATATGCTATGGTTAACGGTGATAAACGACGCGACGGAAGAGGCAAGACACACAACAGAGAATCTTTATTGGAAATCTACAACTTAGGTTCACTAGCACTGGTCATGTAAGGTAAAATCAATGCATCTTCTCAAAAATGACAGTTTTCTTTATGTGAGTCATACCTTTCTGCTGCCATTTAGCAAACGCGATAAAGAACGAGCAGATCGAAGCATTTCGCAACCTTTTCTGGTAAAGCCAAGAACCAGTTGCTGGCCAAAATCGAACGTCGAAGAGGGAGCAGAAGGGCTTCTGGGACCCTTATCTAGATGAGAGAGGAGGGTCTGGGGGTGGGAAGGACACGTGAGAATGACGGGAATGACCCTTACCATATTTGGAGAAAACTATCTAACCTCAGTCTCGAAACGAGGCTAGGAGAACGAGGCGCAGAAGTCAAATTTTTGAAAATTTGGTTCTGTTTATCGATTTTGTTATCCCGTTTGTAGAACGTTAATGCTGCATTTCGTCGCAGAATTGTGAAAGATTAGCGAGATGGATTCACCAAGCCCAGGTCTGTGTTACAATTTTCCATGTTTTTCATGGATTTGGATCTTCAATCTAATGCCTAAATACACGTTGTATTGTTTACTCATCCTCACCTCATTTGCAGAACTTGATCAAAGCTTACAAGGTCTTCTTAGTTTTGAACGGTTAGACAGAGCCTCGCCTGATTTGTGGCCTGAACAAAGTGAGTTAATTTTATTTCAGAATTAAAATTGCGATTTGAAATGTAAAAAATATAACTTTTTTTTAGATATTTTTAAAAATAATTTATGCATATCACATGAATGAAAATCCCTTTTGGGTTGGGAGGGGGACAAATGGGGGAATGAGGAACGTAGCACAGATGGGTCATGAACAGCTCTCCTAACCCTAAAACCCGATTGCTTCGATACCCTAACCGTTAAGCAATGGGGAATAATGATAAACAATGATGTGTTATTGTTTTCTGCAACCAATGAGGAAACACCTATGCATCATAGGTGTAGATAGCTCATATTGGCCAATTCTCTATCATGTGTTTGTTTGTTTTGCCATTGTTATGGTTCACAATAAAGTCAAGGTCATTAAACTGCCAAAATCTAGCCGCCTTGACCAAAAAAGCTTTGCCATTCAGATTTATAAATTATGTGGCCCAAAGAAGTTTTCTCTCATGAGAACCACACAAGGATTCAGGGACAGGCAAGGTAGACCCATCCTGCCTGCTCAGGTAACCAATCAGAAAACACTCTGGTTAATACTTATGAGGTGGAAGGATCTTGCACGTGGACATTATTGATGACCTGTCCCTGTCACAGGTCGAAGTGACTGCGCCTACCACATCCACTTTCTTGTTGTCTTTTTTTTTTTTCACTTTTTTTGTCAACGTACATCTCAGGTTTGAATTAATTTTTTTTTTCAAGGGTAAAATAAGCTATTTAACAGCATTGAATTATTGTAATATTGTAAGTAAAAACAGGGCAGTGCCTTGCATGGGACTAGGGTCCCGTTTGCACTAGCCCTTTTGGGGATCTGCAATTATTGTTTTCTTAATTATTCTTGTAATTATTATAATAATTAATTAGTTTTATTTTATTTCATTAGCCACATGTCTTCTTGTTAATTCTTTAATGACTGCAGTTTTGCTCCAATAAAGTGTCAAAAAACACACACAAAAAACAGGATTTGCTTCATCTTTCCATCTTATGAAAGCAGCCCTGTAAAAAAGGATGTAATATTCAAGGTTGTGCTCTAGCCCTGTAAAAAAGGACAATATTCAAGGTTGTGCTCTAACAGTACTTGGTGGCCCCTTAAACCTAACTTTTGCTTCCGGGAGACTAGGAAAATCTTAGTTTTTCACAGAAATTATATGCTGGGTGCCTTGGATTTCACAAGTTCAGACCATTGGACTCCCTTTGATTTTCTCTCAGAGCACATCCTTGCCTTTTTTTTACACTCTACTCACAGTTCCGAACAACCTATTCATCAACCATTAATGTGATAAAAATCAATTCACTTTCCACGTGCATTAGTTAAATGAATGGCACAAACTAACTAGTTGAAGGGTCATATTTTAGACCCTTTTTTAGGGAGCCCTGCTGCAAATAATACCAGTTAACTGACTTTAAGCACAGTAATAGTACAATAATTTATTATTATTTTATGGTCCATAAAATATTTTAAAAAAAATCAAATCAAATCTTTTCCTTCAACAGTTCCTGGAGTGTCTGACTTTTCTTCTTTGGCTGTCAGCGTAAGTAGCCAGTTGGATCTAATTTAAACATAATAAGCAGTTCCTACAGTTATTCTTTGTCTTGTTTTTTTTTTCTTACTTCACACTGACCCTTAGAAAATCTTTGAAAGTTGTCTGTAGGAGACATGTTGGAGACCAAAACAAAGTTTTGAATTTGATGGGCTGAGCAACTTACACTGTAGTACAATCTAATCTAATCAATTAGCAGTGACAAAGCATCTATCAAAGAGACAGATTAGTTATTTTATTTTTAATGTTACTGTTATTATTGTTGTACTTTTCAATATTAGTCCCTTGACTTAATTCTCATAGCATTTTGTTTTAAATATTCATTTATCAAAGTAGTATATCATTTTCTATCAATTTTATTTCACATTTCCTTGATTTTTTTTTACTATGCTTGCTCCCAAATTCCCAATGCAGAGTTTTAAATGAATAGAACAAGTATTGTCAATAAGTATTATTAAGATGTATCCACAGGCATAAGGATCATAAGGTGTAGGTGTAATGCTGATACTCAGTTATAGAAAAAATTAATGTAACCATTTTATGATCTTTATGACAGCCATTTTCTTTATCAAGTACTCCACCAAAATGGCAGGCTAAACTGGAAGAAGATGATACGGGCATGATGGTGCAAGGTATGTTGTGTTGCACCATTACTAATCTATCCACTGCTTGTTCTCTACACTTAAGATTTTTGTTGTGATATGGAGACTGTTTTATCGCTTGAAAAAAGCTCAATACCACAATTCCAGAAACCCCCATATCCCCCTCTAAAAAATTAAAGTCTTCTCAATGTTACACATTTTCTTCTGCAGAGTTTGGGAGTCTTACCACATCTCAACTGATGGAAAAAGTTCGGGGTCTTCAAAATCTTGCTTTTCAACTTGGGTTAGATGAAGGTATGAGTTTAGGCTGTATTTATACCAAGTGTCCCAGATTTCACTGATAAATCAGGAAATTCTAGAGTCTATTGTAGATGCCATTTGATTTATGAGTGGAAAGAGAAGAGTTTTAAAGTAGTTGGAGGTTTGGGACCAAGAAAATATGTTCACCCCTTGTACCCTGACATGTCAGAATGATTACCCAGCGTCACAGAAATCCAGGATGCATTGAGAAAAAGAAATACTCCAGATTCACCCAATAAGTATCAGAAAACTGGAAGATCCCCAATAATTTGGCATTTTAGACCTTTTGCAGTAGTGTGTGACTAAAGGAGACAGGTGCCATGGTCATATAAGAAAAAAAATTATAGATGTTTACTAATGATTTCAACTCTTTACATGTAAAATATAATTACCATCACTTCCATTATTACCAAAGGATTATCACCAAAGGTTTTTATTAAAATTTTTATTTGTGGTATCAATTTATTTTTTAGCACGGGAAATGACAAGAGGAAAGTTTTTAAACATTCTGGAGAAGGCTAACTCTGGACGAAGATAAGATATGGCTTAATGTGCAGTTGTAGATAAAATTACTAAAATTTGTATAAAAGTTGTGTAAAATTTTAGTAGAATGTTACTTTTCTTCTGGTTGTTATGGTAAAAAGTGGAATTCACATCATAGGATAAACCCTATCTTTTTCCCACACTCGAGAAAAATTATTTGACTTAAAATGTAGAGAGTTCTGTCTGGCTATATTATTATTTTAAATCAAACTTTGAGACAAGAATTTTCAAAACAACAAGAGGATTGTTTGACTCTTTGTTGTTCTGTGCTATGTCAACTTAAAGACAGGGAAGTTCTGTTTCTCATTCTCACTTTGAGTGTGGCATTTCTTAACTAATGATTATTGATGTATTTTTTGTCATACTGACATCTTCTGTTTTATCTGTTATCTATTATTTGAAAACAATAAAATGCTTTAAATCTGTTTCAAGTCTGTTTAATCCACAGGGCACAGAATGTAAACTCTCTTTCTAGTGCCAAAAATTATATGTAAATATATAGTGCTGCACTGTCAAATTGCATATGTTGATAAAAAAAAAATAAAGTAAGCAGAAGGCTGGAGCAATGTTTTCTCAGTGGTTCCATCTTCTTATCAGCCAAGAAAAAATTGAATTTTATTTATTCCTGTTTTTGAGTGTTAACATAAATTGATGCCACAATTGTATTTTTGTTTCAATAGTGTTTCCAACAACTCTTCTCTCCAGTGTATGGAATTATTAATCCTTTCTATACACTTCCTAGTGTTTGCTTCAAAAGTAAACATTGAAAACTGAGTGTAAATGACAAGTCCTCCATGTGTGCAATAAATCGCGTTTAGACTTATCGATTGTTTGTAAGATTTTAAAGATCATCTTACGGTAGAATTATAAGCCTATAATATTTTAGCACAAGTTGAAGAAGTGGTTTTGGAGTTAGAGAATAGTTTTGATGAAGGAAACAGGCATTCACAAAATGAGTTATTTGCTCACAGACATTTGTCGTTTTACAGAAGTGAATGTCCCTTGGGATTAAGATCAGCTAAGCCGCTTGCAGCCGATTGGTCTAAGAGTGCTGATATGAATAATTAACTATGTCCATATTTGATTGATTCGCTTGTGCGTGACAGACAAAGAAAAGAAGTGTCATATTTCATGCAATGCTAAGTATCCCGCGCCATTCCTTGGAGATCGTGAAAGGTCTTTGTGTTTACGGTTTTTTCCGTCGTCGCTGTGCTATTTTTGAGGAAGAACTGATTGGAGTTGTGTTACAAAGGCTTACTTTTGCACACAGCTGATAGAGAAAGTTTAACAGGACAAAGCGGAGTTTCTCGTACGCGATTTTGGCGTTTAAGTTGGGACAACTAATTTGTCATGGCGACAGAGTACCAGTTCCAAAGGACAAGACCTCGGGTTCCCATCAGTGCCATGTTTAGCGGCCCTGGCGCGGCAAGATATTTCTTGCCAAACTGCACAGGTTTTGTTGGTCACGATTTCTCGAAACTTAAAGCTCCCGCTTATTCCTTTGGTACGAAGAACAAAGACAATTTAAGGGCATCCACAACACCCGGACCTGCCGCATACTCTTTGGAGAAGGGTTTAACTCGGAACGGTACAGATGGCTCTGAGAAGTACAGTTTATCGGGACGCACTAAATTAGGCGGATCTTTCCAAACGCCGGCGCCTTGTAAGTACATTTTATGCTTTTATCGTAGTTGATGCTTTTAGCTGTGTAAATTTTGCCGGGTATAGTGTAATTTGTGTATATTTTAGGACAATAGTAATCTCCAGT